TATATATATATATATATATTATGTATATATATATATATATATATACTATATATATATATATAATACGACATATACATATACATATACACATACATATATATACAAGTGCACATACACATACACATACATATACATATACACGTGCACACACATATATATATATATATATATACATATACATATTCGTATATATATACATATACATATACATAGACATACACATGTACATGTACATGTACATATATGTGTACATAGATATATACATATACATATACGTACACGCACGCACACACACATATTTATATATATATATATATATTGATATACAGATAAATATACATATAAATATACATATACATATACATTTACGTATACATATACATATATATATACATACACATACACATACATAAGACATAGACATAGACATAGACATAGATATGGACATAGACATGGACATAGACATAGACATGGACATAGACATAGACATAGACATAGACATAGACATAGACATAGACATAGACCATATACATAGACCATATACATGTACATATACCTGTCATATACATATACATATACATATACATATACATATATATATATATATACATATTTATATACATATACAAATACGTATACATATACATATGTATATATTTATACATATATGTATATACACATATACATATACATATACATATACATATACATATACATATACCTATACATATACATATACATATACATATACATATACATATACATATACATATACATATACATATACATATACATATACATATACGTATACGTATACGTATACATATACATATACATATACATATACATATACATTTACATATACATACATTACACACATATACATATATTTACGTACAATCTATTCACCTTTATACTGTGTATTTCGCCGCCCGCCGTGAGTGCAAATCCGCTTGCTGTCTAAGCTACTCAAAGTATACTCTATTCTATACGAAAATATCGTTGTAAAAATAATGTAACTGTTTCAATTTAGAAGGGTTGAACACAAAAATTGAATGCAAAATCTGAGATACATACGCAGTGTTTTGACTTTTGAGTGTGTAAGAGTAGAGAGTAGAGACTACTACTACTCGTAAATAGGGGGACTCTTACGACTACAGCTGGTATGACTAACTCTTAAGACTACGGCTGTTAAGCGTCCCGTGACGACTACGGCTGTTAAGTGTCCCGCTCTCTCCTCCCGCCAATTAAGCGCTCTGCTCTCGCCTCCCTCCAAGTTAAGCGCCCCGCGCTATAGTAAATTTACCCAATATGCCCCAACTCGGACTAAAAAAATAATTTTTGCACGCAATATTTCATTCACAACGACACACATCACGTACTGCCACATATTGTGTCGGTTGCACAACCCATATTGTACTCTAACACTGGTACCTGTTGCTCTGGACCGTTGTCTGAGATTCTAGACTGCAGCCTACTATCTCATTGGCTGACAAAAGAGCCTTCGGTCAGATACAATGGATTTCTGGCGGTATTTCTCACATATTCCATAGTATTTTATTAGTGGCCTGACCAAATTTGTTGCACCTACGGTTGGAAATACCATCGAATTCTTGCAACTTTGTACAACTTTTGCACTCGTAGATCAACGACTAGGTGATACGATGGCTCCCTCACATAGCAACCTCAAACGATATGCAAAAAAAAATAAAACTACAAGGATTTTCTGCAATACTGGCAACCAGGCCATGATTGGGACGCGTATGAGAATCTGATGAATATTCCGCATGAAATCACAATACAGATATTACCGCAGGACATATTCAAATACTTCTGTCTACTTGCATATGGTAGAGAGAATCTTGGCCCTGATGATCACCCTACACTACGTAGGGAGTCAGGACTAAGCTTTAAAGAAGTCTATCTCATACTATATGCCGCGCAATGCTATTGATTGGGATCCAGTTGATATGAAGGGGAATCCTACGAGATCAAAGGATATGAATGACTAATTGAAAACCATTGAGAGGGCAGAGCTTAGGGGTGAGGGCAAGGCTGACGCTGCTAAACGTCCTATAGAGTACGATGAATTTCGTCAAATTCTTGCTATCGATTTAGAAAATAGGAATTTTCATAATGGTGGTCTGCATGCTCTTTGGACTTTGACATTTCAGCTTATATGTCGAGTGGATGATGTGACAAATATTAAATATGTGGATTTGAAGCCCAATGACGACAATCCAGAACAGCTTTTTGTGACTCTAGTTCGCAGTAAGAATCTCAGAGAGAAGGGTCAGGTAGCCACACAAATCTTACTTGGCTCTATGGATTTTTACTTTTGCGCTCTTAGTGCACTGGCCGCTCACCTTGTAGAACGCATACTAGAGAGAACTAATACGCATCAGTTGGATTTGGGATATATGTGCACTCTAATTGGTACTGTGGGTCGGGATGACATATTAAAACCAGATGTAGCTAGGACAGCGATTGCTAAAATTGTAAGGCTAGACAATTTTGTGGCTAAAGATGAAGTCGACGAAATCGGCACGCATAGTCTCAGAAAGTGCTCGTGTACATATTCTCAGAGACGTGAACGCTCAAAAGATGATGCAGAAGGTAGAGGCAGATGGGCCAGGACCCGAACAAAGGGTCAGAGAAAGAAAAAGTCAAATCGTCAGGTCGATGGATACTCCAACTCTTTGATGCCGGATCCTGATGCTAAAGTATCTGAGGCCTTATGTGGACCCCGATGTGCTTGCAACTATAGGATCGATTCAGGTAAGCTTTTGATTAGTGTTGTGAATAAACTATGTGTATCTATATATGGCACACTTATTCGTAAATATGTGTATACTGAAATTACAAATATTTACTATCGTTATTCTTATACTGCAGACTTCAATCTTAACGATGAGGACTTAAAGTTGGTTATACCAGGTGTGTGCGACCTACCTGGCTTTCATATCCAGAATAAAAGAATTTTTTCTATTGTTGCACTGTATCTCGGTATAACTGAGTCCCTTTTAGTACCAGTAGAGTACCGCAAATATTGCGACGATATGGTAAGACATTTTTTTCCGTATATAATTGATGAGATTAAGAGGTTGGTGATTTTGCGACGACCTGCAGTTGTGATTCGTGCAGGAGTTGATGGCTTCAGAGTCCAAGAAGTTGAAGGTACTGACCAGAACTTTAACAATGTTAATGCTAACAATCTCAACCTGCACGATATGCAGAACCATATGATAGCTTTTTAAGCGCATATATTACCCACTTGAAGCGTATGATCGAGGATATGGAAATGAAAATCGATCAACATCACAATGTGTTCAAGAACAATCACAGAAAACTAAGGCAGGATATTATGGGCGAATTTAATAGACTTTGACTTCCAGTACAAGCCCGTACGAATTTCCAAGCATAACAATAATGCCGCAGGAAACGCTCGCCCAGCAAACGCCCAGAATGAAGCAAGTAGCAACATGCAGCACAATGACATGCATGAGCCCCACGATTCTCGCGAAGCCTGTCTTAACAAAGGAATCAGAACTCTGTGGCAACTATGGCAGGAGTATGACACGGGACTTTATGGGAGCAAACCTGCCCACTTCTTTACTGATAGTGAGCGAGGTAGGGTGAAGTGCACTTCTAGTTTGCGTCTATGTTTTTGGAGGACTATGGAAAAGCTGATCGCCAGAGGTAATAGCGCTCAAATAGCTATAGAGAAAATTCAGGATGCGTAT